CTATTTAAGGCGTTTACAAATAACCCCTTCAGAAGCTGGACCGTGGTGAGGCCTAGATTGGGCCTACTGTGTTTTCTTCTCTCTGACTCTTTCTCTTCCCCCTCCCTCTTTCTCAGTTTCCCTTGCCCCAGGAATTCGTGCTTTTAGAGTCACTATGACTGCATTAGCTACTCAGGAAGCTGACCTGTGGGCAGCTCCTGAGGGCAGGAGCTAAGGATCCAGGAGAACAGCCTGACGCCCAAGTGGCCAGCCCAGCTTCAGCCTCTGTTTCGCACGAGGTGTCTGGACTGAGATGGAGCTGTTCTGAGGGCACACTGCCCACAAAGCAAGTGTGGAGGGATATACAAAACCCCTCTTGATTCAAACAATGCTTGATGAGTACAAGAATGAACTGAAATACCTCGTCCTCTACCTAGAAAGGATCGTGCCCACAAAAACTCCTGATAACCTGAAAGTCTTGGGATATATACAGCAATTACTTTGTGAGCTGCACTTTTCTTCCTGTTTCTCTCTCCCAAGAACAAATGAGGCTGCTGAAGGTTCACGCCATTGATTAAAGATGTGTGCAAAGATTTAGATATGTGAATGTTCACTGATACTATTACAACAGAAACTGGAAACAATCTAAATGCCCAACAGAACAGGATTTTTAAAATATATTACATACAATGTAATACTGTACAGCTATTAAAAGTCATATTGTAGAAGAATGGATGGAATCAAGCTCACAGCATACTGTTACAGGGGAAAAAGAAAGCTACAAAAGCCGGATGCTGTGTACCCACACAGAGGAAAATGTTTCAAAAGACGTTAACCGCGATTGCAACTGGTGGAATTATGAATGGGTTTTAAAATTTTTCTTTTTTGCTTATAAGCATTTTCCATTTTTTCTACAGCAATGTGCCATGCTTTTGAAATAAGGGGAAAAAACAATAAAAACTTATTTTTGCTGGCAAGAAAGGAATAGGGAAAGCCCTCTCTTTCAAGGCTGTCTTCCAGAGCCTTGTTCTGTTAGATGGATATATAATCAACTCAGATCCTAGTCTCCAGCTTGCCTACAGCTTCATGGAGACCACCTTAGCACTTCTACCCAGTGTCCACCTTGAGACAAGCTATCAAAAACAGAGGCTGTCCTGGCCAACCTCTTGTCCCTAGGGACCAAGGGCCACTTCAGCCCCGGGAAAACGGCTGCTCCAGAGCTCGTGGGTTTTGGAAGCAGAGCAGCAGCCCTCGCGTGTGGCAGGAACTTCCCTCCCTCCTCCTGGCTGCTGGCTGCCGAAGGTTTGCAGACAGCTCCCTTTCCATCCCACAAGAGACCGGCGGATGAGTCACAGCGCGGGCTCAGATTAAAGGAGTATTATTGTGTTAGCAGAAATGGATCTATTTTATTATCTGTTTCTTGACACCTTACAAATAGATATGCTTTCCCCACTAGACAGGCAATTCCCTTAAAAAGCCAACAATTTCATTTGGTGAAGTTAAGAAATGACCAATAAGAGTTAGAAACTCATGTGTTCTGAAGAGCAGCCAGACTGAAAAGATGTAGTGGAAACACTGAGGAAGGTGGTTTATAACCCTCAGACTCTAGATTCAAGTCTGCAAAGTGATGCCATTCTTCTAAAAATATACAGAGGAACTACAGAGGCCCTTTCACCCTTTCTCTTCTCTAAGAGCTTCTTTTTTTTTTTTTTTTTAAAGAAACATACTAGGATTTGGTTTGTACAGGAGAGTCACCATCTCAGATTTCACACAAGTGATGCTGGTGGTATACTATTTTAAGGACTTCCTTCTCTTCCACAGATTTTTCCATACTGGAAGGATAGATAAGGTGTATTCCACTAATGTTGCTCATTAAACACACACATGTGCCAGCAGTCATTTCCCTTTGTCTTGTTGTCCCATGACAACAGATTGCATATCATAGGAAATTGGAATGGGGACTTTATTTAGTTTGGAACTCTCTTCTCCATTGTTTAACTCCACATTCAATTTTTCACTGTCATTTCATTGAGATATCATTGTCATTGTCAATTTTCTATGTCTTCCTCCTTTTGGGAGAAATATACTATGACTGAATATGTTGTTGTTGTATGCCATCAAGTTGACTCCAACTCATAGTGACTCTGTATGACAGAGTAGAACTGACCCATAGGGTTTCCTAGGCTGTAATCTTTATGGGAGCAGACTGCCAGGTCTTTCCTCCCACAGAGCCAGTAGTTGGTTTCAAATCCTCGATCTTTTGGTTAGCAGCCAAGTGCTTTAACCATTATACTACCAGGACTCTTCTATGACTGAATATAAAACAAAACTCATTACTGTTGAGTCAGTTCCCTATAGGACAGAGTAAAACTGCCCCATAGGGTTTCCAAGGAGCAGCTGGTGGATTTGAACTGCCAACTGCCGACCTTTTGGTTAGCAACTGAGCTCTTAACCACTGCACCACCAGGGCTCCTGACTGAATATAAACCAAACAAAACCCACTGCCGTCGAGTTGATTCCAACTTATAGTGACCCTATAAGACAGAGTAGAACTGCCCCATAGAGTTTCCAAGGAGTACCTGGTGGATTTGAACGGCTGAACTTTTGGTTAGCAGGTGTAGCACTTAACCACTACGCCACCAGGGTGACTGAATATAGGAACATATAAATTAATAGCTAAAGACCTCATAGACTTTTCAGAGGCACATTGGCCAGTGTCCCCTTCCTCCTCCTCAGCCTTTTATTTCTAGGCTGAAATGCAATAGGTACTCGGTAGAGATCCAGCGACTGATGGGTATATGTGTATCATCACTGTGCTCTCCTGGTACTTCGCTTACTGTCGATCAAGTTCCTGTAAGTGGGTATTTCTTTCTCCCTCATCCTTCAACCCAGACACCTGTCCATTTTTAAAAAAATCTTCCACCAAGCGCCAGGAGAGGAGGTCTGTGGGAGCAGAGAAAATTTCCTGTTGTTGAACACTAGCTTTTAGAGGAAGCTGAATGTCTTTTCAATCCAATATGCTCTGTTCTGTGAAGCTATTGTTTTTCCTAAAGACTGCAAAGCTATTACGGCAAACTTTTAAATGGTCCCAGTTATTTATCTTTTTGAGTATGAACTTTTACCCAAATTTTGCCATTCCTTTTCTCTTTTCATTTAAAAATGTGATTTTTCTAAATAGGATTCACTAGATCTGAGAACTAATATTCTTTCCATGATAATGGCTAAGATTTGTCAAACACTAACTGTGTGCCAGGCACTGGGTAATAGTTTCCACACCCATTATTTCATTTACTCCTTACACCACCCTATGAGGGAGACGCCAACATATGAGGAAACTGAAGGCGCTTAAGCCCTTGTCCAAAGTCACAACATACCTAGAGTGGGGCTCTTGACCACTCCATGGAAATCCACCCAGCTTTCTCACTAAAGCTCATAAGTTTGGCCATCCAGAAAACTTTTTCCAAGAATACAAAGTAGAGCTGTATTTGCACTCTGTGAAGCCCATACCTTCACTAAAGGCAGCCCCCAGGTAGCCAAGAAGCCAAAACTCACTTGTGACACTATATCACAGAGGTTAGGTGCAGGTCTGGATATCAGACAGTACTGATTTCATCAGCCCCAGCTCGCCTACTTACTGGATGTGAGACCACAGGAAAGTTACCTACCCTCTCTGAGGTTTAGTTTCCAAATCTGTAAATGGGGATAACAATATAGGTTGGACTCTATGAAGCTGCCAACTTTCAACCATTTTTTACCTCCAAATAGCATTTTCAAATAACTCAACCTAAAGTCTTCACTGGGTCTCTTTCGATTAAATGAGTGCACACAGGAAACAATAAATCGCGCTTTTTAGAAAGCGCTGATTTCCTTTTGCTCAGGTCGATAAAATTCGTTTGCATTCTCTGAGCGCACTTTACGTGCAGAGAAGCCAGCCTGAGATTATGTAAATGTTGTAGCCAGTAACTCCGGAGACAAGAAAACTGCGTGGATAATCAAGAATTAACAAAGGCGCTCCCGAGCCCTGTTGCTCCATGCATCCCCCCCGCCCCGTCTCCAGTTTAGTCTCTTAATTAATAAAATTTTTTTTTAAATTAGGAAATCGGGGAGGGGGTTGGTGAGGAAGTTAATCCCATCAGACAAAGAAAAGTTTTTTAAAATCAATTCCTACCCCGCGAGTTGGCTGCGCTAAGTGGCACGGTTCCTTGACTGGCAGGGCGGGTCTAGCCTTCCCGGCGAGGGCTCAGACGCTAACTATCAGCTCAAACGCCGGTTCCCCAATCTGCCGCGCCCACGCCGAGCGAATAATAGTAATAGCCAGAGTTGGCATTACCTGCTGCGTGTTGTTTACTTCCTCGCTAGGTGCCAGGCCCTGCGCTTGGCGACCAAGCCCTGGCCCCTCACAAGTATTATCTTATTTACTCCCCGCTATGTTCCTACGAGCACAGAACTATCATTATCTCCATTTTCAGGATAAAGAAACAGACACCGAGAGGTTGAGTCACTTGACCAAGCTCTCCGAGCGAAATACGACTAGAACCCAGGCAGCCCAGAATTCCCACTCGGAATCTCTCCTTTTCCTACGCGGTAGAGGTGCTTTTTCACCCAAGAAGCCTCCAAAGTTAGTCACACCCAAGGGAAGGGGCACGACCCCGCCGACCAGCACACCCTCGCCGCGCGCAGCTCGTCCAGGGTGCCGAAAGAGGAGCGGCACCGCCCCGGGGTATTTAACCCCAGTCTGCAAGCCGCCGGGCGTCCGACGCTCCGGCTCCTCCCGGCTCGCGCCCTCTCTCCCCTCCGCCCGCCTCTCTCCTGGCGCGCCGCACCTTCCTCCCTGCATTCGCCTCGCGTGCAGGCACCGGCCGGCGGGCGTCGGGAGCGGGGCGCGGACGGCGGGCAACGCTCGCCTCTGCGGAGCCGCCCCCGGCCGAGGCCGCCGCGCACCGCCCAGCCCGCGCCGCCCCACTTCCCGCACCGAGTGCACCGCGGAGCTTAAGCTGGGACGCCAGGCGGCTGAGGACGCCCGGCCAGCCCGCAGCATGGATTCGGATTCCGGCGAGCAGAGCGAGGGCGAGCCCGTGACCACCGCAGGTACAGAGGGGCCGCCGCCGCCCAGCAGAGAGGGCTGGGGCCCGGGGGGAGAGGAGGCCCGGGCAGGAAATCGTGAGTAGTTCTCCCAGCTGCCAGGCGGGAGGCCGATCCCCAGCATCCGGATCCCTTCCAGGCCGAGACTGGGGGTTGCTCCGCGCCCTGAGTTTGCTTTGGGGCTCCCCTCTCCCAATTGCACTTGGGCGCGCGGGAGAGAGAGGAGGTGGATTTGCTGGGGGCTCTTGGCGCTGCCGGACTCCTGCAGCGGGCTGGGGTCTCCCGGGCTGGGTGGGGGCGGGGAAGGTTTCGGGAAATCCACGTCCCGTAGTCTGCTGCAGCGAGGGTTGCAACACATCAGCCTTTTGGAATAACTTGCCAAGCGTCGGCCAGGTCCCTGAACCCAGGACGCTGGAGCCACGCTGCGGAGTAGGTGATCAGCTCGGAGGGTTTGACGGGGAACTCCAGGAAGGAAAGGCCCCGGGGGTGGACGAGCAGCGGTGAAACCAAAGCTCGTGGCTGCGGTTCCCGAGGCTGCTAAGCGAGCCGGTGCAGAAGCGCTCGCCCATCGCCGCCCGGCAGCCGACCGAGGAGGTCCCAGCGGAGGGGGGCCCGGAACGCAGACGCTTGGTTGTGCGGAGCCGGGCTTCGCGTTTTAGAGGCACCGCCAGCTCGTCACAATCGATAGTTATCGAAGCAATGGGTGGATGCATACTTAGGAAAAAAATGAATGTCCTCCCCCGCCTCTCCGTGATACTGAGCAACAGGAGGAAGCCACCCACTGCCTTGGGTTGACTTACCTCCAAGCTTCTGCTGGTCCCCACCGGCCCACCCCGCCCCGGGCCCACACACCTGGGACCGACTTGCTCGCCCCACGTGCCCGGGGCTCCCAGCACCCTGAAGACTAGCCATGGCCGGCAGACCTGTGACCTGCCTGCTGGGATCCTCCTGGTAGTGACTCGAAACTCCAGTTTGGCCCTCACATTTCCCAACGTCAGACGCAATCCTGAAGGAAGGGCACAAGTGACGAGGCACTGTCAGCCCAGGCTGGGGTGTAGCAAAGGTAGGCTCAGGAGCCGGGTAGGACAGTGCCAGACAGGACAGTGCCAGGCGTTGTGCCAAGGGCCTACGTATATTATTCCCCTTAATCCTCACCACACCTAGTGAGGTGCTTATTATGTCCATTTTACAGAGGTTCAGAGAGGTTAAGTGGCTTGCCTACGTCTCACAGCCAGGGAGCAGCCAGGTCCAAGGACTTCTTTTCCACTGCCTCCCACCGGGTGGCTGTGGTCCACCGATGTGGGCGTAAAGGAAAGGTGGCTTCACTAGGATGCCTCTGTGTGAGGATATCTGTGTGTACAAGGGCCACCTGCTTTGTGTAGGTGTGTGTGGATATATTTCACAAACATGAGCCCTTTGCCTGCCTGTATGTTTCTGTGCCTATACAGGTGGCCCGTGGATCTCCTCCCATCACTTAAAAGTTTCAGTGGTGTGTATCTAAGTCTGTTTCCAGAGCTCAAAAGGGCGAGGACATTGGCACTGACCTTTACTCTCTCAGGATCCCAGGGACTAACGTTCTTCATGCTTCCCCTCCCCCTAACCTCCTATCCCTTGTGAGGGTTGATGTAGAGGGGGGAGGAGGATAAAGAGGCTTAGCCAAAGATGAGGGGAGGAGGAGAGAGGGAGGGAGGAGAAACTCCAGAACAGTTTGTACATGGTTCAGATGAGAGGGGGCAAAGTTCTTAAGTGCCCTGGTGCCGTTTTCCTCCAGCTGCCCCATGGAGGAACATCCCTGTCTTTGTGCATATCAGTTTGTGGAGACAGCCTCTGCAGAGCTAAGAGCACATGCTAGATGGGTCAGATAAGGAATAGGGCAGCCAGCTCTTGTGAGCTGTCACCATGTGTTTGCGCCTTACTGTTTTCTACAGTCATTTCTTCTTTCTTCGTGGGCTTGAATCTTACAAGTTGAACATTTATTTGAATGTCACAAACCATTCTGCTAAATGGCATTCAATCTCACTGAAAGTACTCTCCTTTATGACAAAGCCTCAAATTGGGATGCTAATTCATTGCTTTGCTTCTATGGCTGTATCCTGTCGAATGAAAATCCTTGTTGCAGCTTCAGATACAGGTTAAATGACAGGTGTTATTCTTCGGGGTTGACCTTTGTTCCTAGGGGAAGCTTGTCATTCATCTGGTGACCTGTATGTGTGCAAGCCGAGTAGGTGATGGGTTTGTAACTGAGAAAGACAAAGGTGAGTGGGACCTGCTGGAGTACTTCTGTGTGTCTGTGTGCACCTGTCTCAGAAGGAGGTGAGATCTAGGGCTGCTTCCTTCTCAACACCCTTCCCTTCCCACACTTGTGAAAGAGCCAGGTTAAAGTTAAGAGCCTAGACTCTGGAATTAGACAGACCTAGGTTTCAATTTCCACCTGAAGGGCAAGTTAATTAACCTCTCCAATTCTCCGTTTCCCCCTCTGCAAAACAGGAGTAACAATAGAACCACAAGAGTGTTGGCAAGGTTAAATTAAATAACATATGAAAAGCGTTCCTGGTAGGTACGTAGTAATCAGTAAGTAAATGGTGCTGTTGTTTGTATTCTTACCTGATTGGATTATTGTGAGAACGCTGCTAAACGATATACCCCAGTGCTTTGTCGATTGCTAGGCACATGTAACACAGATTGTTGTCCTTATTATCACATTAATAAGATCGCTTAAGGAGATTTGTTCTGAATTTTTTCCTTTTCACTCTCTTACTCTCTTTCTCTGGTGTGTGTATGCGTGTGTGTGTGTGTGTGTGTGTGTGTATGTGTGTGTTTGCCATGTTTTTTTTTTTAACCTCATGCCACCCACAAGCTCAAGGTTTGAAGATGGGGACATTCAAAACTGCTGCTTTTACCACCCCTTCCTCCAGCTCTAGGGAAAGTTGTAAACAGCAGATAACTCCTTACCCATCCACTTTCTAACCTGGAGATGGGAGTGCTCCCCTCTTTCATGCCCTTCAAATGGCAGAAGGGGGCATCCCTTCTTCCACCCCCACACTGGTGAACTGGCAGGAGGCACAGAAGGTGCTCACCACTCTCCCTTCCACTTCTGCCCATCGCAGTCACCTTACCAGTCACCAGTGAGCAGAGGAGTGAGGAAGTCTCTGTGGTCCACCCACTCTTTACTGTACCCCTCTCAGGAGACTTCTGAAGATCTCCCCACTGTGTGCTGTGCAGACCTTTCATAGAGCAACAGCCTGCAGTGGAGGCTCCAGATGGGGGTGGGTTTGAGGTTTATCTCAATCTGCATTATCTGGTGTCAAGGAAACACAGTATGATGTTCCTGTGTCCTTCTGTTCCTGCAGCTCTTCTCTGCCTTTCTGGAGTCTTTGGTTCCTTCTATGATTAGCAAGGAGGCAGGGTTTGTGGAACACTGGATTCCTTCCAGAGACCTAACTTGGCAGCCTCTCCTTTGACAAACCCACCATCCGTCTCTCAGAAGCCTTAGAGTTTGGTATGTTAACTCAGGAGTGATTGAGAGTCTTTCCCGAGAAGCAACAGGGGAGAAAATGTTAGCGATGTCAGCTTTTCCCGTTTCTCACTCGGAAGACTAAGTCTATCCAGCTGAGAGGGAAGATGAGCTACTTCCACTCACAACTAGATGGTCCAGGGCAGTCGAGCTGATAGGGCATCCTTGCAGCTGGGTAGGTGCCACAGAAGAGCATTTTATCTGACAAAGCTGCTATGTGATAGGGAGACCTCCAGAGAAATAAAGAACAGAAAGCAGAGGGCCTTAACTCTGCCCTCCTACCCTTCCCTCTCCCAGGTCCTAAGCTTTGCCCATGTGAATACAGGGACAAGGAGTGGTAAGATGCAGTATGTGGCCAAGGGGAAACAAGGCCTCCCGGGAGGCAGACACAGCCTGAGCAAGGCACAAACAAACAGGGAGGTGACTGAATATAGTGTATACTGGGGAGAAATGGGAAATGAAATGAGGTCAGTGTTGTCAGCCACCCCATGCACAACAGGATAAAATGCCACCCAGCCCTGCATCATCCCGGTGATCAGCTGCAGATGGACCATTTTAATCCATAGAATTTTCACTGTCTGATTTTCAGAAATAGATTGCCAGGCCTTTCTTCCTAGTCCATCTTAGTCTGGAAGCTTCACTGAAACGTGTTCAGCATCCTAGCAACATACAAGCCTCCACTGGCAAACAGGTGGTGACTGTACATGAGATGCATTGGCTGGGAATTAACCCAGGTGTCCCGCGTAGAAGCAAGAATTCTACCACTTACCTACCACTGCCCCCGAGGTCAGCAGTATTGTTGTTAGGTGCCACTGAGTCAGTGTCAACTCGTAGCCACTCCATGTGACAGAATAGAACTGCCCCATAAGGTTTTCTAGGCTGTAATATTTACGGAAGGAGCCCTGGTGGTGCAGTGGTTAAAGTGCTTGGCTCCTAACCAAAAAAGTCGGCAGTTTGAAACCACCAGCAACTCCACGGGAGAGAGATGTGGCAGTCTGCTTACGTAAAGACTTACAGCCTTGGAAACCGTATGGGGCAGTTCTACTCCGTCCTATAAGGTCGCTATGAGTTGGAATCAACTTGATGGCAGTGGGTTTTGTTTTTTTGGGGGGAGTCTTTACAGAAGCAGATTACCAGGTCTTTCTTCCACGGAGCCACTGGGTGGGTTTGAACTGCCAGCCTTTTAGTTAGCAGCTGAGTGCTTAACTGTGGCACCACCAGTCCTCCTTAGGTCAGTGTAGGAATGGCGAATTATAACAGGGTCTTAAAAAGTTGATGCTGAAGGTGCCTTGGGAGCCATGGCTGATTGCTGAGCAGAGACGTGACAGAAGGAACACTGGTTTTCAAAACCCAAGCCTGGCAGAGATGGAGGTGGGCAGGGATTACCTCGGCTCTAGGCCTCAGCTGCCGGGTTGTGGTCACACTAGCAGAGGGGGTATGACACTGACAGGCAGGAGGGGAAGGCTTCCAGTGGCATTTCCGAGAAACAAAC